CCATATCTAAAACTAGGAAATTCGCACTTCATATGCGCAGGGAAGCATGATTATTGAGGGCAAGCTAGCAAAGATTCTTTGAGCGCAACTCGAACGGATTCTGGCCTATTTTCAGTTTAGAAGATGCGCGGAAGGCACGAATCTGCCATGTCAACCTCAGGTCTCAAGGTCGGAAAACCAGAAAATGCAAAAAACCACGCGAACTCGATTTCTAATGTTTTTAAGGGGGTGGGAAGAAATGCGGGAATTCTGGTAAAATAGGCTATGGCAAGCTAGCAGTGTTCATTTGCCGTTCCAGCGTTCCAAGTACCACCGTTACCCCCTAAAATTGGCCGCTAAAGAGATTGTACGGGGCCGAGGGTCCCGTACGGCATCGAAAATCCGTTGATTGAGTGTCTCTTCTCCACCCACCCCCCCGTAAAGAGGAAAGAAAGGGAATGCAATTTTGAGTCACTCAACCTAGGCAGAAGAAGAGGATAAAGAAGGGAGGAGGAGAAGGAGTCAGAACGAATTCTCTTCAATTCGAGACATCTTCAAGATATCCCTTTCAGGAGAGAGAGAGAGAGAGAGAGAGAGAGAGAGAGAGAGAGAGAGAGAGAGAGGGAGAGAGAGAGTGAGAGAGAGAAAGCTGTGAAGAAGAATGAACACTTCCTGTCTTGAGCTCTAGGAGGACCCCTAAATTGGCATGGAACGAAAAGGGGAATCCTCGTTGTTAGTCAGAATTCGTCAGGGAATGGAAATTTAGGGACAATAGCATAAGACTAAATGGCGGCTTGAAAATTGCATAGATTGCAAAATTTGCGATTTTGCTGCCATCCACGACGGCCCGTAATTTCTAAAAAGGCCTTAGAAGCAAAAAACAGCACTTTCCGGAAGGTCAAATTGCCCGAACATGATGACAATAAATCAAGCGGGTTGGTTTTGGTTGGAAAATTCCGGCTTCAAAAACCCCAAAACTTAAAAAATTAGGAAGCCGGATCGCGGCTGTAGTGACCTGAGTTTTTCATTTCGTTCCACCTGGCTTTTCTGTAGCTTTAATGTATTGTTTAACGCACTTGGGTATAAGAGCCTATTGGCACTAATTTTTCCCACGTTCCAGGCTTAAAAAGCGGATTTTTCGGTATTTTTTGTTCCATTTGTATCTATTTGTACAAGCCTATCATGCTCAAAAATATGCCTTTTCGTTTAATTTCTTTGTTCTATCTGTGCCTGCGGCTCTTTCTCATGCCCTCCGGCTCCTCCTCCTCCCTCATCCAAACCTCACCCCTCTCATGCTCCTTTTCTATTCAAAAGAGGGCCCTCCTCCCAGCCACTCTCTCTCTCTTCCACAAAAGCCCGCAATCGATTCCCAGTTGGGCCCTAAAGCTTTTCCCCTACTCTTTTTCTTTTCCTCTTTCTCTTTTTCTCTCTATTCTGTCTTCCATCCACTCAATCCAATTCTCTCATATTTCAACTCGATCCCTACACCTTTCCACACAACATTTTGTGGGTATTTATAACTTTCCAGGCTTCGATTTGGTGGTTTAACTTGGAAAATGGATGTTTTTCCTGGTTTTTCGGCTCCGGTCGGTTATTTATGTGTTTTAAGACCATCATTTTAAGGATCTCTGCTAGCTGTCAGCCAGTAGCGCTCGAGAAATGATCAGCGTGACAGTAGCTGCTCACGGCGGAAGAAAAAGGGTGGTTGGAGGTCATTTGAAGGTATTTTTTCTACTGTTTATTTATTGTGAACCTAAATAAAATAGTTTATTTAAATTAAAAGCTCTTGAAATAAGGAAATTATGTATATTCTTGACAAAATAGAGGAAAGAAGTAGCCAAAATTACTGTTTCGGATAGAGTTTCTCTTAAAATATCTATGTTTTAGGCGTATGACAGCGGCCGTCTCTCGATTTTCGACCTGAATATCCAACCCGAAAAGCTGGAAGTGCAGCAGAGGAGGTTCGTTTATTTTGCGCAACATTCTCACTTTTTAAATCCATTTTCAAGGAAGAAATCTGAAATTCGGCAGATAGTCAGTTTTTAAAGCTTTCAGTTTCATTTTTCATTTCGATTTTTGGATTTTGAAAATTAAAAATCTTTTAAAAATTTGGTTTTCCATAAGAGATATTGTTTACTTTTGTAGCCTTAAGGCAAATTATCTAAAAGAGCAAACACAGGTAAGACTCCAGATAACCCCCCCCCCCCCCAGCCGGCACCCAACTTTTGTATCTCGGCTCCCTGTTTATCTAAAGGTGTGTAAAGTATACCAAAATGTTTGTCTTGCTGTGGCGAGTATTTTGGTATACTTTACACACCTGTAGATGAACAGAGAGTCGAGATACGGTAGGTGGAGGTCGGCTGGGGGGTGGGGGGTATCTGGAGTTTAGCCCAAACACAAACCTCACGGAAGGGCTACTCGATTGTGGGTTGTTTTTATGGGTATAAGGGAGTGACTGGAAAGGGAGCGCATCCCCCCGCCCTCTCATTTCCGCTATTTAGGAGGACTATGGAATTTTGGGTAGTCGAAGCGAGTAATTGTTCTCTCCGCCAGCCTGTCATTTTGATGCTTTTATAAGAAAACTATATTTCTTGGAGTAAAAATTTTTTAAACGAATTTTTAGCCTAAATTAAAAATCTCGAAAAACAACCATCTTGTTCATTTGGTTAAAATGTTTATTAACGTTAGAAAATACAATCAGTGTGGAAAGAATCATTTGATCTAAAATAAAGCACAAAATAAAATAAATTGACGCTTTATAAACGCCATTTTTAATAGAATAAAAAGTTAAAACCCCTTTTGCAACGCGAAAGTTAAAAAATTCAATGAAAAACTAAAAACTAAACTAAACAAAATCCAAGACAACCCAATTTTTAATTTGTCTAACGGTGGAATTTGAGCCTTAAACTGCACAAAGACCACAACGAGAATGACATACCGTAATCGAAGAAAACTAATACGTCGCCAAACATTTTTAGGCAACTCTGGAGCCATTTATTCGACAAGCTATTCGCCTTGGCGTTTCTTTTATTCCAGACATGCTTCCCGTTTCTGGCCAGGTTATTTAATTTTTTTTTGTGACGAACAAATATCCATGAATCTCCAGATTTTTCGAAAAGCCCGATAATAATAACGTGGAGGCGAGGATGGCGGCTCGAAGGAAGTCCGCAAAAATACCACCGCCAGCTATTCATGTAAGAGATTTAACAATTTAAAAATATTCCCTAGGTAATGCCGAAGCAAAAAATGCTAATAATTTCGTCAAATAGCAAATATAGAACTTTTAAAATAATTTGTTTGTAAAATTTATTTTTTGAAAGTTTTGCAACTATAAATTCAAAATTTTAGAAACTGACAAGTAAACTCCTGCTGAACGTCTTTTCCAACCTCGACGGTGTCGATATTGCCCATTGTGAGGCAGTGTGTAAAAGATGGAGAAAAGTGATTGAGAAACACAATGATGACATGCCGAAAGTGCTCAAGGATCAGGTATTTTTATCGTTTCTGAGGATTTTGAGCTTTGAAAGGACCGGAAAGCCAGCAGACCAGAAATTACGAGTTGGTTTTCAGATTCGAATTCTATTTGATGAGGGCGAGATTGTGATCTATCCGCTTGATTCGAGGAATACGCCCACCAGATATCCTATGCCGAATTTACAGGTAAGGAAGAGAGCGAGAGAGACACAGAGAGAGAGAGCGAGAGAGAGAGCGAAGGAGAAAGGCTAGATAGGCTAGCCGAGATCATTTGCGGAATGAAGTCTACGTTACGGCTAGTATAAAATGCTTGTGGACCAGAAAATTACGCAGACTTGGATTTGCTCAAAATATTCATATTTTAGCGCTTGGCCATCCTGCTCCGTCACCTTTCGACGCTCTCCCTATTTGTCCGTGGCCTGATCCCGATCGAGGCGATTCCTGTCCTCAAGAGTCTCTGTCAGCTATCCCTCCGCCCACAGCAGATCTATTTTATTTGGAGCAAATTCTCGCAGGAGAGCATTGCACTGGTAATTTCTGCTATCAGAAAACGCAAAAACATCGTTTAGCTGGAAGAATTGATTATCTGCAATGCCGAGACGTTGACCGATATCGGGTTTGAAGAATGTAGTCCGACGGCGTTTTTGTCGGGTTAGTTCTGAAGTAAAAAGAAAAAATTAAGGTTAAGATCCCGATAAACAGGTTGGCCTAAAAAGCCGGAAAAATGAGAAGATTGATTTATACAGTCCTCTAACAGTTTTTCCCGGGAAGTTATGTCGTAATTAGAAGCTAAATAGGACGATAAAAAGCATGCCTTTATAAAATAAAATTAAAATTGGATTATTAAGATTTTAGATCGTCTAATCTTCCCAATCGTCCATCAAATTCAATCCCTCCGAGTGTGGAATGACGCAAAAAGTGGGCAGCATAATATTACCGACGTAACCCTTGGCCATTTGACAAGGTATGGAACTTTAAAAATCAAGAAAAATCTATTTTTTTAGAAATTTCGCTCGTGGGCATCGTCTAGAAACTTTGGATCTTTCATCCTGTCGGATTTCTTCAGCAGCTCTGTCTAAATTAATCGTGGCCTGGTCGAAAAAGCCGAAATGTGATTTAAGGTAATTTTATTTTAGGTTTTACTGTTTTTAATTATTTTTAAACGTATTTTTGGCACCTCTAAGAAGTCATTAAATTCAATTAATACCATGAAAAGCGCTGAAATTACATTTTTTAGTATTACCGTAAACTTCTGCCCGGACGTCTTCCGCAGTGAAATTGTGGAATGGATGGCCACCCGAGAAGACCTACATTTGCATAACGGGAAACTGGCTCGGAATGGATGTGTATTAACGCTATTCTGCTAGCCAACCGCCATTGACTGTAATTTGTTAAAAATTGTACAAAGCAGTGATATGTACGTGTACAGTATAAAGATCTCTATCAACGAAAGATCTTTTTCTTCACAACCGCGAAAAGTACTCCTAATTAAACGAACGAATTCTGTCAAACTACAAATTCACCATCGACCAAGTCAAATCGCTTTATTGCTGGCTGGAAGAAGAATCAGAGCTACAACGGGAAATTGTTTGAGTTTGTGTTTCTGCAGCGGGTTGGGGCTCCGCCAATAGGAGTTCGAGCCTCTCCCTTCGCTCCTGTCTTGCAGTTTCTTCTTTTCTAAACTCAATTTCTGGTTCTTTTTTGGTCTGTAAGAATTCTACGGTCGTGAGCGTTCTTTCCGGCAGCACCTACCGAAGGTACCCGGCGTATGTCGAGTAAGTATAAATGAAGCAGGCCAATACCGCTCCACTGAAGGCTCCGAATACGAGGGAACCTAGGCGGAAAGAGAATCATGATCCCTGAAAAATGTTTTACCTGTCGGTTTGCCCAGATTGTCGAAGTGTACAAGAAAAGACCACAGCTCGATGAAAAAAATTAGGACCTGAAAGTGTTTCGTTCGAGAAGGAAATTTGTGTACAAATTGTGGTGTACTCATGTAAACATGTTGCAAAAGTTGACTCCGAAACTGACAAAGCAAGTCCACGAAAATATAATCATAAGCCGACGCTTCGTCAAAACGGCCATGATCCCGAAAATGATGGTGACAGCCGCGCCAGCGTGCCAAATTATCTGAAACAACATAATAAACTTGCTGTCACTAATCGACACATTTCTTGGTCATAGAAACGAGGTCTCACTTTCACAGGGCTACTGCTAAAAAGATCATTTTAGAAAGTCATAGCGTTTCAAAATTTGCGAACTTCAAAGTCATTTATTTTGCCTTTCCGGGCTGATTTAACAAAAACAAATATAACCAACGGTTTCAAAAAATTTCTATAAAAAGAGCTTCTAACTCAAATTGTTTAATTTAAAATCGAAAAGCGATGTATGGACAAGTTTTTATATGGGAAATGATGAAAAACAGCCTATTTCACACCCCCGTCAGTGATTGTCGGTAGGCAGGAGCGCACAATTCGAATGCCATTTGAATTAGTATAAAAATCAACTATACAAGATAAACTAAAAAGAATAGATTGCGATAAAAGAATTTGGCTATCGTGACAAATGAGTCTTCTCGCGGCTCAAAAACTATCTTAAAATGGCTATAATTTTTTATATAATTTTTATTATTTTGCTGAGACGCCGACTTTTCCCTGTAGCCACTGCAGAGTCTCGCTTTCCAAGGTCGGCGGATACAACACCCACAGCTTCACAGTCTCATATATCGCAGCCATTGAGAGGGATCTCTGGACGAATTGATCGCTCTAAAAATATTGCTCGAATAATTTTTATATAGCGGCACGGGGAAATAGGCTCTTAAGCTCTAAAACTGATGATTGCTGCTTTAAAAAATATTGACAGACTGTTTCAAAACGGCTCAAGATATTGGAAAAGCTGCTCACCTCAGAAGTCTCCGGGGCGCGCTTTGCCTTTTCTTCAGCTCTGAAATTTGTTTTCTTTGCGATAGGATAGGAGAGGTTGCTTGACAAAATTTAAAATTTGGGAAAGCTTTCGTAGTAGTTCAGCATTTTTCTGCTGATGAATTCGCTATCCTATTGTTAAAATTCATAATGTCGCAATTTCGTAATGTCGAAAGTCTCGGGATTTTTTTTGCATAGGATCGGGGGGTTTTCCGGGAAAATTAGCTTATGTAAATTTCGGCATTATGATTTTTGACATTTTGAAGGAAAACGGAAATTGTTACGTGTTACACATTTTACGTATATAAAATGGCCTACCGTAGTTCTTTTTGATAGCTATAAAACAGCGTGGAGAAGGTAAAGAACATGCCGATGCTGATGATCCAGTATGTCACAAGTCCTGACAACCACTCACTTCACAAATTATTCCTACCTATCCATTGCAACACTAGTTTCGTCTGGTAATCCCTGATCGTTGCAGCATATTCTGGGTTGATTCCGCGCTGGTTCTTGAAGCGATACCAGTTGGAGGCAAGGTCGAGGAATGTCATTATCGCCTAAAACTTGAGTCTTACGGTATTTTAAGCAAAAAAAGCGAAACGTCGTTTGAAACCAACAAAACAGGTGCAAACGATGTTGAGGAAAACACGGCGCCGCGTGGAAAGAACGATGGATCCGCAAATCATGGCTATCACCGCGAGAATAATCCAGAACGTCTTAAAACCAATTATCATCTCAATTATGAACGCTAATGATACCTGTAGCCATGGCAGCATCTCGATCGTGCCCGGATCGAGTCGTGGCGCATCCAAGTACATAACCTTTAGCGCTTCATATGTAATTGCCAGTGCAACGGCAGTAAGAAACCCGGCCTAGAAATGATCGAAATCGGATAACTTGGTCGAAGAGAAAACACGGTTCGATGACTTGAAACTTTAAACTCTGACGACACTAAAGGACGCCGCCTTGCTAGTTGCATGCAACGTCACTATTTGGACTGACCGAATCTGAAGGGGTGCATCCACTGCCGCAACCAGAGCACAGCAGGCCCCCGTCCACATGTTCAAGCTTGCGTAAAAAGCCTTCAGCGGCAGCCAAAGCCGTGTTCTCTGAAATACGCACATCCCAATTAGCGATTTTGAAATGACAAAAATCCTAGTTGTCTAACCAGAAAACAGAACTACAGCCATTGGGTGGTATCGCTAGGTTTGGACCTTTGAGATCCATTTGCGACGCCCTTTTTGTTAAGCATGTTTTTGATCAAACTTCACAGGGAACTTTGGGCAAATATGTACACGTTCAGGGAGGGGCCGTGTACTCGTCCCAACGTGTACACCCTATGGACGTAGGGACCGCGCGTACTGCATGCCCGTGCTGTCCCTTTAAGCAAAATTTTCGATAGAATGAGTGAAAAAGCCGAAATACTAGGTACAAGGAAAGCGTGACGGTAAACGAGATGAAACCAAGAAGATAATATGTTTACGTCACATTCTATAAGATACTTTTATTGCGATCGGTTCATGCAGGCACAAGGCGAAGCAAAGCGGGCGTGAAGAGCTTAAGAAGCGAATAAACTGGCAACACAATCAACACTGGATCTCGAAATAGGAAAAGCTCAAAAATTGCTCAAATCAAAAAATGCTCTAAGATTTGGTGGGTACCGTGTAGAGATAATTAGATGAGAAAAGCGATCAATCGATTCAAACATTGATTTTCTTGTCCAGGCCTGAAGAAGCGCACCGCGTTTTTCACTTCAATTTCGCGCAGCCATCAGCCCTCAACTGCAAAAAAAAATCAACTTCCATGAAACGCGGAGCTCACCTTTACTGATCGAAGAGCATAATACTGTCCCAGACGAAAGACGACAAGTAATAAACCAAAAAATAAAATGTAGATGGCTGAGGCTTCTCCAATCAAAAGTATCGGGGCAATGATTAGCCCGAAACCCGGCAAGATTAGGGCAGCTAATACTACAACAACGACGGCCATGAGTAGTAGAATATACGGCCGCCCTAAACCGCGTAATTGACCAGGTCTTACAAAAAAAAGCTACATTTTGTGAGAAACGCCGAAAGTGCCTCCATGAAAAGCATGCCAATCGTGACTTTTTTGGCATCATTTATTTGTCTTAGGGTAGCATAGTGCTTCTAAAAGAGGGTTAATAAAAATCTCGAACGATAAGCGCACGTCAATGTGCGTCACGAGCTCTTCAAGGAATGGCAGACCATATTCGGCACCACCCATTTTTGGGGTATCCCTGAATAAAGTTTGATTAAAATAATACCGGGGCAAGCGGTACCGGAATTTCTGGACGGCCTTCCGTTTGCAGCTGTCATGAAGTGTATTCAGATCTGACGACTGGATGAAGGGACTGCCTGGACGGCAAACCTGAAAAATGTCGATGAGTGGGTAGAACTCGCGCCAAGAAGGATCAATAAAGAGCCAGGGCCCACCAATTCCATGCCCTCGTTGTAGCAATTACGCGCCGCTTCCACGGCGCATAAATTGTTCGCCTTGGATGTGGCCTAAAAAGTCAAAAAGCTATATCTGGCATTCACGCACGCACAAGCTACTGGCCGAGTACAAGTTCTTCCCAAAAATTACCTCTAGCATTGTCGTGGCCATCGGCAGCGTGTCGCTTTGGAAGATCTCCATGTAACTCTTGAAGAGTTGGAACAACTCGCGGCAAGTCACCGCGTGCCCATTGACTTCCTTCACCACCAACTTCTGACCATCCAAGATGCCCGGGATCAGTTCACGCAACGAGTCCCGGAATTTCTTGGAAATCTCTGTAAAAACAACGCGTCAGGCAGCCGACGAACTCACCATCCAGCTGCCCACGGAAAGTTCCGCTCGATGCAACCGCTTCCCCTGGGTAGGGCATCAAGAAGCACCGAATTTGCCGGAAGCAATCTCGGATGTTTCTGCGAACTTTCCCGAGCTCCACGGGCTGCCCAGCCGGGATCTAAGGTTGATATTGGGTCAAGATTTAATCAAGATTTTGTACCCTCAAAAATTCCTCCAAAACCTCATGACCGCCACCAAATCCAAAGTCAGCCTCATCCGGGCAGCTCCAATCGCGTACAAGGAAAACAAGGTCCTTAATGTAAGTGGTTTTGAAAGATTACATTGTGGTGAGAAAGACTAGAACCTAGTCGCGCACGCGCATAGGGTGCCCTTGTGACAGTAACCCTAGGTCGCGCAGCGGCTGCCCTAATTTCATGTCGTTATGAGCCGCGCTCGCAGGGATCTTTCCCCATTTTATCCACGCTTAATTTTTGTTCCACGTTATTTCCGTCACGATTGGTTTTTTCAATTAACGTAAAATGTTTTTTATGCAAGAATTTTGTACGACATTCAAGCTCTTCAACCACACAACTCGTTGCAAAAACACATACCTGGAAGGGCTTGCTGCTTTCGTTGTTCAACGCCAATCGCCCGTAATCCGTGAACAACTCGAGATGTTGTAGATTGTCTTCTTGAATGTTTTGGCTTAGGTTGTAAATCTAGGTTTATACACATGTGCTACCGAGGCAATCTGCCAACCTGAACGGAGCTAACCATCGTTGATAGGGCAAAGATGGTGGCACAGTCCGTTACCGTTGATCTCGAGTCAAAAGCCCCTTGTGTATCCATCAGAAGAACGGCTATCTCAAAGAGAACACTAAAAATTAATGGAATTTGATGATACCTCCTCTCCTTTGGAGTTCCTGACAAGGAATGGCCGCTTACAAATCAAAATTCCGTTTGTTTCGGGTTTGCGGCCATTGCGCCATGAAAAGACGTTGAATGCCGTCTTGGCCTCGAGCCATGTCTCGTCTTTTCTTCCTAGATATGTGATTGGATTGGTGACCTTAGTATACCGTCATTATGCTCCAATTTCTGTAGATACCGAATGAAGAAATTTAGCAGGAAAGATTTTCCCTTTCGGAACGCGCCGGCCACGCTGATGACGGCAACCTAACTAATCATCATTCATGAGAAGAAAAATATTCTCCCCTTTTTATCAGCAAATTTTGTATCGAGCAGCACTTCCCGGAGTGCCTCTTCATTCAGCGTGAAGCGATGCTCGGCAGTCCGCTCATGCGTCTCGACAATTGGAAGGGCTTCCACTGAAAAATGACACACCGTCGCGTTATCACAACAAGACGAGGGTTGCAGCTCCCCCAGCGGGAAAATGTCAACATAAATTCATGAGGGGTAAAACGATAGTCGCTAATGATGCATGACACTAAAAACATGACGTCCAACCTTCTTCATAAATAATTTCATAGGTGTCCTCGATCCGGGTTTCTGCTTCTCGTTGTGGAGTCTCTTTGATTGCGATTTGCTCGCCTAAAAAAACATAAGGTCCAATGATAGCCACCGTTTTCTAGAAAAAAAGACCAGACAATCTATTTTATCTCTAATCGATTTATTTGGACTTCGAAAACCAGAAAACCTCTGCCAAAAATACTTTTGATCCCAAATCTACTACCAGCATTCTCGATGCGTTCGAAATCAGCTTCACTCGACTCGAGCCGAACGCTTTCCTTCGGCTTCTTGTTTGCTACTTGTCGCCTTCTGCCCCATCGGAACACGTAATTGAATGCGTAACATGTGGCTATGCCGACCAGCAAGGTAACCTGAGCAAAATGTTATTTGATGAAGGGATTCATCGATTGATTCTCACATGAGTATTCTTGGAGAAAGGGTTTGACCTACAATTAGCGTCCCGGTGAAGAAGCCTAGAATCAATGCCTGGATCAACGTTTCCGGATTCGTCTCTTCCACCGTTATTTCGATTTCGGCAGGTGGCCCGAAGAGCTTTTCGCTTAGCCAATTGATGAGCAGCATTGAGTCGAGGCCGAAACTGACAAAGAATTGGTAAAACCTAAACTACAAGTAAACCACAAAAATGCATATCTAAACGACGAGTGAAAACCCGTAAAGTTGTAATTTAAAAAGCAGTGCCTATAAAATATTTTTCGAGCGTGCAACTCGGCACAACAGAATCTGAAAAATGGCGCTATCATAAAATTTGACTCTGGCCGCGGTCCTGCAATTTTCCTGATAGCCGGCGAGTGGTCAGAAAACGGCAAGGGATGGCATTTGTTTTTGAGTAAGAAATAGATCTTCTTTTGTGCGTTGTAAATCAATCGCTGCAACCGGCATAAAAATAAGACAGTAGGCCCTACATGATGTCTTCGATGAGACGACCAGAAAAAGCGATTTTTGGCAAGCTCTACAAAATTTTACCTAAATTTCCATAAACATTGACCATCCGCCGCGCTATTTTTCCCGATGTTCTGTATCTTTGCATCTATTTTAGCGTGAAGTTGTCAGTGTCCTAACGCCTCTCTGACTCGATCCAAGTCCCGGGTTCTCACGTTTGCTGACCCGTGGACCCGTGAAGATGGTGACGAGCTGCTATCGTCATCTACCCGGACCCCGTTTCCGTTCCACTTTTTACGAGGAAGTATTTTGAGGGTGCGAAGGCTGTTGAATTTGTCATTTTATTTCTGGAGAGAGTAGCAGAAGAAGAAGAAGAAGGGCCATTCCACTCGAATAGTTCTCGACGTGGCGAAGAGGGGGAAGAGAGAAGAAATCGAGATTGAGACACCTTTCTAAACCCGGAAATCGTTGGCTGGGCTAGAGTGCGGCTTATTCAAATCAAATCGGGACTCAAACCGGTTTGATTTGAATAAGGGCGGTTTGAATAAGAAACTGCTTTCAAATCAAACCGGTTTGGTTTGAATAAGGATCCGTTATTCAAACCAAACCGACCAGGTTTGAGTTGGTTTGAATTGGTTTGAACAACAGGCAAATCAAGCATGTTAATCGATCTGATGGATGCTAATCGGCTAAGATTTCAAGGCATCCCTTCTAAAACCTAGCGTGACCATTATAATGATGAAATTGGTTGTGTTTACAGGGTTGACACACTTTTTCAACCATAGGCTTGGCATTCACGACCGTTCACAAGCATCCTAATGGTCGTGATAACTTGGGCAGGGTGCCAGAAAAAAAACGTCTCGAAATGGTCCGCCAACCCCAAAAACCTGGCAGAAATGCTGCCGAACGATCCTAAAGTGAATCACCAATAGATTGGTGCCAAAACGCTAAAAACAGGACAGAAAACAGACTGTTTTGGAGACTGGTTCTTATTCAAACCTTGTTCAAATTATTCAAACCGGTTTGGTTTGGTTTGAGTTGGGAATCCTTATTCAAACCGGGTTTGGTTTGAATAAGGATCCCGTATTCAAATCAAACCGGTTTGATTTGAATAACGGAAATCTTATTCAAACTCGGTTTGAATAAGCCGCACTCTAGGCTGGGCCCTGGAAATGTCCCGTTCCTCTATATAAATCACAACCCAATGCACCAGCTCTAAATATGCATCGAAGCGGGTCGTGAAATGATCTTCAGTCTGACTGAAATGAGGGTAACTTTTTACGTCCGGCATTTTGTGGGTAAAATTGCTAACTTAAATTAATTTGATTTTTCGATTTTAAATAAGGGAATTGTCTGGAATTTTTTTATCTGCTTCTAAACGTACATCTTTTACAAATTTGCATGTAAAAATTATAAAGTTTTTTGACCAGAATTGGCTCGAGCAAATTTTCAAATTTTTAGATTTTTGTAAGTCATTTTTGCGAGCTGAAATAAAGTCAAATTCCACCAAAAATACTATTAAAGCACTTAATAGTTGATTGTTAGGCGCTGCTGGACAAACAAAAAAAAATTGGCTCCCCCCGATAATGCGCAAGTACCGTTTATTCCAATATCATTTAAATCCAAATTTTCTCTAAAAACCGAGCCTACTCTCGATTTCCGGAAACAAAATAGAATTCCAGGGATCTCTGCTCGAACACCATTCCCTGCAATTGGAAACCACTTCCATCGTATTTCCCTTTAAATCCCCGTCCACTAACACTTTAAACCCCATCCTTTTTTTTGCCAAAAAATGTCTCGATGTCTATCTGAAAATGACCCCCATCTTCCCTGCTTGCCCTTTTTTGCCGTAAAGATCTTCTTCAAAATGGCGTCATTGCGATGCGTTGGGTAATTAATTCAACGAATTAGACACCGTTTCCGACTCAATGGCCTCTTCTTCTTATCCTAACCTCTGGGGTTCGCCAGGAAAACCAATCCCCCAACCTTTTTAAAGCTTCTTTTTCGTCTGAAAAAGCCAATAGGGGAAGAAGTTTTTTTTTTTGTTTGTGACGATATTGAGATGGGGGCATAGTTTAGCAGTCAGAATAACTGGGTGAAGCTTGGGTGCCCTATTTTTTTTTTGGTTCTACCGTAGCCGCGCTCAATATTCACGGCGCCGACGTACTTTAGGAAAAAAAATCATAGTTTTTTGTAAGCGACCAGGGAGTTTTTCAGCTCATTTTTGCCAGAAAACGTAATTAATCCCAGATTCGATTCAAAGTGCCTCGTAAATTTGTTAGGTAACGCAAATGTTACCGGTTAAAGAATTCAAGAATTTACAGGGTTAGTTATTCTTGCGCAATATAAATTATATAGAAAAATACCATTAAACAATTCTGGCATTTTGATTTTTTTAGAGAATTCACAGTTGGCGGAAAGGTGCACAGAGCATACCATTAATGCACCGGGTTAAAAAATTCACGACACATTTGCAGTTTTTCCAGCCCGTGATCGCACTATAATCTTCACTTCAAGCCCATTTTCATGTCATACGGCTCGGCAGTTTCCTTTTTTCCTATTCTTCCGAATGCATCATCATGATTTAAGTAGATAGTAAGAAAACCTGATCAGGTTATACAATTTCGACGTTAAATTCGTGCTACTCCTTTTCAGGGCCTTGACTCTATCTTTTTCGTAATTGAATCATTCAGGCGTTTTGGTTAAAAATTGTGATTTCCCGGAATCTCTAACCCGCACCAGCTCACCCCAACTAGAGTAGTCTGTGGTACCAAGCGTACCTATAATCTCTTGATTTTATTTTTCCGCGCCCATACGGGTCTACCCGACCTTTTTGTTCAAAATAAATACGTGGTTTTAGCCGATTTTTCCTAAATTTTATTGACCTTTTGGTTTTCACCCGTTATCCGGCTACCGTATCTTCAGGGATAAATTTAGACCCAAACGAACAAGGAATCAAATTCCCATGAAAATCTTGATTCCCGGATTGGCGTCAATCATTGGAATACTAGTACCAAAAATTCTGAAAATATCCGTTGGTCCTGGGAAGTTCATTTTTCCAGTTTCTAAAAATACGACCCAGGGAGATTGTCGTAGATTGTAAAGCCCTTCAAGATGAAAAATGGTAAGTTTTTCGTTTCAGAAGCCGTAGCACAAACTTGTCAGTTGGGGAAATTTTTGATGTTCTATCACAAAGCTTCCTGGTTGCCTTTTTCTCGTGTTCTTTAGCTGCAACTCCACGAGACACCAATTATTCAAATGTTGCCTCCGTTATATAATTAAGGTGAGTGGTGAATTGGTTTTTATTAGCAGAATCCAGGGATAGATAGCCAAATAATGATGTCGCTTTCTGATTGGAAACATCACAATCGAGAGGGAGTCCTGCTCAGATTTTGCAGTTTCATGCTCTTTTTAATTTTTTCCAAGTTTCTAATTTTTGAAGCCGCGCCAAAAATCCTGGGCTGGTACCAAAGTGCGGAAATTAGCCCATATCTATTACCCCCTAGTCAAATTTTGACTACCCCCTAGTCAAACTATTACTAGGGGCTAGTCATGTCACCATTCGCTAACTAGTAATTCAATACAAAAACACCTAGTCAAATCTTGACAACCCCCTAGTCAAATTTTGATCACCCCCTGGTCAAAATGTGACTACCCCCTAGTCAAACCAGCTCCTGGATGATTGGTAGTGGTAAAAACGAAAGAAAATAAGGTGGAATTCTAGGGTAAAACCACAACAGAGCTTGACTACCCCCTGGTCAACGAAATATGAAAGTTTCTTCATATTTCGGTTGACCAGGTGGTAATCCACACTTGCAAGAAAATTTTCTCCCCAAACGTCGAAACTGAGCGTTTTTGGGCTTACCCAATCGAAAATTCACACCTTAATCTGCCCGTACTCCAAAATCTAGCATCCGAGGTAAATTTAGCGAGTTTTTATAATAAAAACCCTTTTTTTCGTTGACCAGCCCCCCATCACCATTTTGCTCGGAGCTGGTTTGACTAGGGGGTAGTCACATTTTGACCAGGGGGTGATCAAAATTTGACTAGGGGGTAGTCAAGATTTGACTAGGTGTTTTTGTATTGAATTACTAGTTAGCGAATGGTGGCATGATTAGCCCCTAGTAATAGTTTGACTAGGGGGTAGTCAACGTTTGACCAGTAGTGGTAAATTAAAATTTGGCACTTTGGTACCAGCCCTGGCAATTTGAGTTACCTCAGCAAACCCTTAAAATAGTTTCTATTCCATCTGGATCTGGAAATGATTTGCAAATGGCTGCAAAAACATGAACAACGGAAATGAGGGTGGTAGGCTCGTTTTGGGGGGAATTCCAGGAACCACTCTAAATATGGGAGCGACAAAAATGACGTTATCGGACCTAGAAAATATGATTTAGAACATATTTTAGTGCTCCACGGAACTTCTTTTAAAATTTAAAACAATAAATTGATAGAATAAAACGATGTTAATCTTAATATAATTTACGTATAAAAAGGCAAATAATTTGGTCCTTGAAAATTCCACATTTTTGTAATTTCTTCGTAGAAACTCCGTTTCCTCTTTTTTGTACAATTCCTTAGATCAGAAGACCATTTATTTCATTTTTTCGTCTGGCCACTAAAAATTCCCCTGCTCCTCTGTGATTTTCCATTTATGCATCTCCCCTTTTTGGAGTCAAAAT